AATGCATGAACTAGCTTTTCTGCATCAGAAACAGGTATCATGTTTCGTAACTTGGCAATGTTTCTAAGATGGAAGAATGCTGTTTTTGTAACATGGGAAATATGATTTTCAAAATAAAGAAAATCATATTTATATGATAAAAATAAAGATTTTCTTTATTTAAAAAAAAAAAAAAAAAATTAAATTTTTCAATGATGAAGTCAAGTAGTGTTTAACTCTCTGGGGTCCGAGGGTGTTTTGGGCCCTGGAGAAGTTTTGATATGCCCTGACATTTGTGAGTCACTGAAATAAGGCCATGAAACACATACAGAACATTTGTTCACAAGACTATTGAGAACTGATCTTGAAGTCTAGAGTTTTTTCTTCAGAATGATGTGAAAATCATCTAGTTTACCCACTCACAGAAAACAATATATTGATTTAAATTTTTTAAGACACATTTTGTGTAGAAAATGAATATGCGAGGGGGCGTGAATGGTCACGGATAATGCTGTGATTCACACCTGAGAAGACAAAGGCCTGCATAATGAGCCTTTCAGTCAGGTGTGTGACTGAGAGGGAATTGCTACAAGAAAGAATGAGGAAAAAAATAAGTCTATTTTTTGTTTGTAGTTTAGTTAGAATATATATAACTATTACATCATTTTGGGAGTGTGTGCATAACATGGTCTTAGGTGTGGTCCAGGTTCTTGTTCCACAGGCTCTGAGATTCCTGCCCGCACAGGTCAACTTCAGTCATTGTTTTCCATGACCGAGTGGGCTGCTTTGATTTGGCTCTCTTTGCAACAGGTTCTTTTGCACTGTTATTCTCACATCTGAAATAAAAAAAGCAAGCATGCTGTTTACACAAACTACATTATTAACATTATTGTGATGTTCACTGATACTAGTACTAATTTATCGAAAAAAAGAACACAATTACCACATAGCGAACATATTTTACCATGCATTAAATAAATCAAATGAAAGTAACATCTGTAAAATAGTGAATGCACACTTACTCAAAGATTCTGAATGGAGTTGAAAACTGAACGAGTACCCCCTTCCTATGAGAGATGCAGGTGAATGCAAGAGTGGTGTATTCCCCACAGTACCTTAGTATAGTATGCATACTTCATAAGAAAACAGAATGCCAATTCTTACATTTTAACACAATCAACCACAAATAATATTACCACATAGTCTAGGAATAATAAAATTACAATTACTATACTGTGCACTTACTCAGTAGGATTTTCCAGCGAACTCAAAACTGAACGACATGCGTGTGCCTTTCTTGTGCAAGATGCCGGTGATGCAGCCACGGTCTTAAAATGAAAATTGAAACGGTTTCAAACATTTCAGCGTCATTACTCCATAAGACACGGGTATAACACATTCAAAATATTTACACCAGAGCAGATATTCATGAACAGAAGCTTAGTTACATTCATAAACACAAGCATGCTTTGTATGTAGGCCTATACAATCCAAAAACTATAGTTATAAACATATATGGCTATATTCGTGAACAGAGAATATCATATCACAGTAAAGTTGACTAATCATTCTTACTGACATTAGGCTAGTAACATTATGACTCTGTCTGTTATAGAACATAACAAACATCCTGGCATTGTGACATTTAGATGCTGTGAATGAAACTTCATAATGTTACAGTTCATTTTAATGACGCGTCTCTAAATAAAGATCACGCAGACCAAGGCGGCAGACTGCACACCCTGTTTGTTTTCTTTATTTTATAAATGCACAAAGTTCTGTTGTTATTATGTGTGTATACAAATAAAAGTAGACCCTTTACAGATTCGATTAATGTATTGCTCTTATCTGTAAGATCAAAACTGAAAGTGTAATTTAAGTCATTTTCGGTGTTATCAGGAGAAAATGCCACAAAACGCATATCCGCGTTCGTCGACCCCAGAGGGTTAAAGAGAGGAGTTTTCAGCTGTCGCTTGAAAATTGTCAGGGATTCAGCATT